CCCCCCCCCCCCCCCCCCCATATAGACCCTCTAGAAACACAGGAGTTCTGTTTCTTTTATAATATCACTGAAGAAAGTTTATAGCCATGCACCTTTTATATCGTTCATCATCAAACAAGGCCTTCTATTTTATAGCTTTGAAGTTTGTCGAGCTTTTAGACAGTCATATCTTGACAGTCTATGCATTAATTGTCCAAATAATACAATTACCTGCGCATGGATTGAAAGGAATAGTTACTCCCATTGTTGTACAGCGGATTCCATTTCGCGCCATGCAATAGTACGTCCCAGCATTTTCTCGTCCAAGTTTTGGAATTACATACTCACATATCATTTGCCTACTTCCTCCTTTCGATGGCTGACAGACGTTAACGTGTTTTTCATTGAAGAAAAAAATTATTACTGAAGCGGGATTTAGGATATCTGGGCTGTGTAGCAGAGAGTTAACTACTGGTGCTGTAGCTTTGCATCGTACGGTGACATGAGAGCCATTGTTCTGGGGATATTTTTCTTTAGTTATTACCTCCAATTCAACAAATGGATGGATTTCTAAAAAAATTTGTAATTAAGAAAACTGATTATTTCCATTCGTTATATTCACTGTACAGTAGATTTCTGTAGTATAGTCTCCCATCTAAACTGAGATTGAATTAAGTATTTGTTTCAAAAATCGAAATTTCACGCATATCGTATCTCCTCTTTTAACTTCTCTGGACGCTGTTTTATCCAGTTGTTCTGGACTTGGTGTTTATTAGAAGAAGGGGGGCGGGGGAGGGACTAAAAAATATCTACTTTATTTTGTTATGTTACAAAAGCATCATCAGAGGAACATGGGAAAAATTGTCATAAAGTTTTCCATTATTTAGAATTATATCAGTGAATATTAGTATGTTACATACACATCATCATCAATATACTTTATAAAAGAACGAATGTGTTCATATTTCGCTGAAAGTTTTCAATGAAAATAATTTAATTAATAGAAGATGGGGTTAAATAGAAAACGGCGGTTTGTTTTGCTTCTGCGCTTGTAGACTCGTCACCATGCACAGAGCCGATAGAAGTGGATGATAACCCAGGCATTAAAATAAGGATTTTTACAAGGACACACTTTACCTCCACGTCAAGGAAAACAATTACTTGCAAGTGGGGCAGACCAGCTTGAGCATAAATACTCGTCAACTAATGGCCCTGTCGCACTATTGCGTATGAGATAAACTATGAGAAGCGTATGGAAATTAATGAAATAGTTTTCATACCCACAAATTACAAAAATCCATTGAAATGCCAGCGTATGAGTACAGTACATCTGGCGTTACCTCCAGCGTATTCAGCGTGTGCCTAGAGTATGCTTATCGTATAGACCATACGTTCGAATACGCACAAAATTTTTAAGCAGACTTAAAAAAATGTTTCTGTCTCGCCGTATATGCCAGCGTATGCCAACTTATGCCAGCGTATGCCAACTTATGCCAGCGTATGCTACCGTGCTTGAAACGTATACAACCTATGCCTATAGTGTATGAATGAGTGATATTTTTCATACGCTGACATACGCTATAGTACGATATGCAATAGTGTGACAGGGCCTAAAGGCTGTTTTCCACTAGGCGGAATTTTCCGCGCGGAGCAGAATTTCTCTTTGTCTTTTCTAATTAGTTCCACCCGAGAAATCACAAGACAAAGAAAAATTCCGCTCCGCGCGGAAAATTCCGCCTAGTGGAAAACAGCCTTAAAGGCTGGTTTCCAGTCAGTGGAATTTTGCGCGCGGGGCCAGCGGGCGGAATTTTTCAGGCGGATTTTGCTGCGGGCGGATTGATGGCAATGCACAGTCAGCGCATTTTGCAATTTATTTTCCGCAAAATGGCGGCTACTAGCAATGGCAAGCAGCTTAGACGAATAATTCTTCTTTACTTGTTGAGAAGACGTATCCAGAGAAGAAAGTATTTCAAGAGCAAGTGGGTTAGAAAGTTATTTGTTGAACGAAAAATAAAAGGCGAATTTTGGTTACTAATTAAAGACATGGAACTTTACGACCATGAATACTTTTTCAAGTCGTTCAGAATGAGTCCTACTTCTTTGGAGCAACTTCTTTCATGGATAGGCCCTCGTATTTTCAAGTCGTCGCAAAGACGAGAAGCTATTAGTCCAAAGGAAAAGCTATGTGTTACATTACGTTATCTTGTCACGGGTGATGCACAAGTAACTATCGCTGCATCGTACAGAATAGGTCCAGCAACTATAAGTAAAATAATAAAGGAGACAACAAAAGCCATTTGGGACGTTCTCGATGAAAAGGGATTTTTGCGTGTTCCTAGAACTGCAAAAGAGTGGAAGGCCATTTCGAAGGACTTTAAAGAAAAGTGGAACTTCCCTAATTGTATTGGAGCTATAGATGGCAAGCATGTTGTTGTCCAAGCAACGCCCAGGTCTGGGTCTGATCTTTTCAATTACAAGAAGACATTCAGTATTGTTTTAATGGCAGTTTGTGATGCCGATTATCAGTTTACTCTTGTGGACGTGGGAGACGCAGGCAGACAAAGTGACGGGGGTGTTTATAGCAACAGCAAGCTGGGTTTTGCAATTGACAATCAGTTACTTGGTTTTCCCTCAGGTGAAAAGCTGCCCTCCTCTGAAATTAAAGTTCCTTCTGTCTTTGTGGCTGATGATGCTTTTCCACTAAAGAGCAACATCATGAAACCCTATCCGGGCAAGCAGGGTGATGTTACCAAGAGCATCTTTAATTATCGGTTATCAAGAGCTCGTCGAATTATCGAGAACACATTTGGCATTGCTACATCAAGATTCAGGGTCTTTAGAAGGCCAATAATTGCAAGCGAGTCAACTGCCAATTCTATCGCTAGAGCCGTGGTTGCTTTGCATAATTACCTGATGGTAATCAGGTCACACACCGAAAGCAGTTACAACTATTGCCCATGCACCTGGTTACATTGATGTTGATGCTGGTGCCTCACTTAAACCTGGTAACTGGCGAAGGGATACCCAATCGACTGCTGGACTAATTCCAATTGGTCAGACTGGGTCCAACAACTACTCGCAAAGTGCAAGTGCAGTGCG